AACGAGAGGAGTTCGCAAAAACGATGTCAAAGTCCTTATAACACAAGACGTATTGATACTTTGTTAAGTTATCATATCCGCAAAGTTAACTAGCCCTTAGCATAGTATAGTGCAAGGGCTTGCCCTGATGCAGTGATTCCCAAACTGTGCGCCGCGGCGCCCCGGGGAGCCGCGGCCTCTTTACAGGGGCGCCGCGAAATATTGTAAAAGCTTCAATTTGAAAAAATTTGTAGTGATTTGCAGGCTCATCCATCACATTAATTATTAAATGTTAATTTAATGTCAATAAAGTATTAAAAAAATAATGAAGATACACGAGTTTTATTTATTTTTATCTCTTACTTACGATTACTCATACTTAGGGTAGGGCGCCATGGAAAAAATTTTAATTGAAAAAGAGCGCCGCGACTAGGAAAAGTTTGGGAACCACTGTCCTAATAGATTCGAACAAAAGCCTGTAGATTTGTAGATGTCGTTAGTGCAAACTGGCTGAGCAATCGAAAGTAAAAAGATATGTAATCCTCGCTTACGCTGATTTGAGATCTGTTGGTCGAGTTTTTAGACAATGAATGAATAAGCATCATCTCAAATTATGCAATCCTCATTATGTGTATGAGTGGGCGTTAATTTATTCCGTGTGTATGTGTGTGTGCACGCATGAAATTTACCTACTGGGTGATTAAGAAATACGGTGAAAGAAAGAGATACAGGTGAAAAAATTCATGGAAGGTAGAGGGTGGCATAAGGAATTAGGAATGAGGGTATACAAACTAGTAAACAACGAATAGGATAAAAGGGCTGTAAGGAAGGGGGAATGGAAATAAAGGCCAATGGACTAGGCTGCGGAGGTGCTTAAGGAAATACAAGGCTGAGGCAATTGTAGGAGTGAAAGCGATCCTCAATTAGACAAACTTGAGGTCGTTCTAAAAAGGCTATTTACTTCCCAATCACTTTGTCTATGTTCTCCAATTCCACTACACCTCTTACAGCATTTTTGAGTCACAATGCCTAAACACAATTTGGTGGTTTCAGTAGATGCAGCCACTAAATGCTCATGGTGATTAGATGTTCACGTTATAAATGGGGCTATAATTCAAGTACTGCTGATAGTTTCGAAGCCTAACTGCTATGGTGACAAGTTAAGTGATGACAAAATAAAAGTTTGCCTTATCGATAATCCCTCTATAAATGTGATATGGAAAGGTTCTGACTTGCCTCGCAAGTTATGCTGGCCTTGTTACCCATTGTCATCTATGACAGTGACGTAGGGCTAAAATGTCGCAAATATAGGTATAACTACCCGTGTTCTATTTCTGTTAAGACGCTGGCGAAATCAACACTGCTGTCCGCCATGTTTGAGAATAACTTTTGTGGGGGGCAAAGCTAAGTGAAATTCATTGGCATCGTATAACCTAATTGTATCATTTTGGTAAGATTCAGCCGTCAGGCCTTCATCACCTTATGTGGCCTAGGATCACCTACCTAATATGAATATAGTAATTATAAACTATCGTCCTTCTCCCTATCAAAAGTCTAGCATTTCGCGATCGCCTTTCCTCTTTTTGCTAGTGTTACATTCTAGTGTTAACGTTTTGACTCATAGTCGTTACTTTTTGATCTGAAGAAGGTTCAACTTTTCCACCTCTCTTGTGTACCTTTCTTCGAATAAAGCAAAAAGATAAATATATGATAAATATATAATAAATTTTATATAAACTAGAGAAGCGAGTTTACGTCTTATTGTTAACTCGCCTAGTCTTTTAAAGATAGTAATTATACGGCCTCAGGTGGTATTTGTCGGTTTGGTGTTCCTGTCTCGGGTGAATCATCGGCCATGTTATTTGTCTAAACTGAAGGAACGCATGCGAATGATACACGATATGTGCTTTCTTTATCTAGCCGAGATCCCCTGTGTCTTACAGACTATATGTCATAATTAAAGCCAAGTTTTCTAGCTAACCATATAGATCTCCGCGGCTAGAAAAGAGCTTGTCTAGATTAAATCTGACTGAATTTCTGGACTATAATGTAATGATGCATCCAAACGAGAGTCCATTAATGGCTTATTTAATCATTTTGTTTCTGGCGGGCTCAATCATTATAGCCTTAGGCAGAAGTACCTTCCGGCCTAGGACGACTCTTAGCTAAGAGATTTCATGCGCGCTCCCAATTATGGACACACATCTTTCTTTGCTTCTCATATCTACGGTTTTCAATCAGCACCAGCCTACTTCTTCTCTGCCTTCCGAGCAATGACGTCATACTCAGCCTCACACATGCCAGAATAAAAACATTGATTTCCTATTCCGCCTATTTCGACATTGTCCTCGTCAGTGAACTCAACGTCCGCACTCGTTTATCCAATAATCAGGCTCGTCTCCACCACCCACGTTCACTCGCACTCAGCTATATACAAATATACCCCTATTTCACAACCACTTTGCCCACAAGGTCAACAGGCCGCCTACCCTATAAATCGTCCAACTGGCCTACTTGTCCACACAAATGGACATCCTCACAGCTGGTGCCCTTTGTTCTGCCGACCAAGTTGGATCTAGTATTGTATACCGCTATTCAACCACCTCCATACACAGGAAGATGCACATGCACAGGTATACAGCAAGCCTTAACGAAACTCTAACCCCAATTACATCCTCACTTTTCTGTCTACTCATCGAAGCTGGAATCCCAGTTACAAACGCATTTTGTTCATTCCAGCTCGTAATCCAGTCACCCTGTCACAAAGCCAGCCAACCGACCAGCCAGCCAACCGGCCAGGCAACCAATCAACTTTGTCCTATCTGCTTTATTCAGCCAATCCCACTTATCACAGCCACCCACCGATTTATGTTGGTATCCCTGTTTGGCCAGACTATCACCAGCGCGTCACTGAGCTGTTCATTTTGCGCCTGATTGGGCCCTAGGGTTGATTGATTGGTTCAGTTACTATCACAAACCCCTCTAAGACAGCCGCTTAACCACGTCCTTTGTTCCTCTGTTCGCATCGTCCATCATACCCTCCATATGACTCACGCTTCCTTCCTTTCCTTTCCCACTCACTAACTCTCGCACAACGCACAATACACAGTGACACAGGCAATAGAGCGACACAAGCACAGACATTGACATACCTAAACGTGTGCTCTTCAGACTGTTTGGCTGACGTTTTTGCTTTATTTGCTTGTGGCATGGCAGACGGACCAGGCAGCATGCACTTCCGCTTGCCTACATCAAAGGGGGCCCCCATGGTTTCGCGGCCGAGTGGTCTGAGGGTTGCCTTTAAACTCATCATCCTGAGGGTTATAAATTATCTCCCCACGCCTGGGTCTGGGACACATTCCAAGCTCAAACGGCTTTTAGTCGGTATCCTTTTCTAGTCGTGAGTCTTCTCGCGAAGCAGCGCCTACAATCATACACTTCACACTTGTAGTCCTAAAAGTGTGTAAAGTGCCCTTTAGAGAGAATTGTATTAAGGCATAAGGGTAAAATGCATTTTGTTAATCACGGCTAAAGTCTCCTGCAGATTATGCACTGTTTGCATGAAAATTAAAGTGATAACATCTTCCTAATTAACTCTGCCTCCAATTGATTTTATGCTTCAAACTATCGGAGGGCCTGGTCGCAGTTGAACACACAAGATTTCATATTCCACC